TTCACGGCTAGAATTCTCCAGTTCCGGTTCAGGAGGCACCGGTGTAGGCCTGGAAGAGTGACTTTACAGACTAAGGAAGAAATTAACCTCATCGAGGAGACATGAAGGTCTTGGTGTCATTTTGTATTTTATCTATCTATAATTTCACGTAAAACAATGTACAAGTTGTTCTTGGAACAGGGGTTATATCCAAATATCCTCTCTTAGATGAATGTCCCAATTTATGCTTTAAGGGTTAATCTTTTCCTTTCTTCAGACCCAAAACTCTGGGATTATTTTCTGCAAAGTATTCTGTTTCTGAAAGCAGCAGCTTAGGTACATCAGTGCACAAGAGGGCTGGAGAACATGAAACCTGATCCGATGAAAACGTGTCCCTGCAACCCGGCATTAAGTATCTAATCCCTCTGACAGGGCAAGGGTGTAAGACCCAACTCTGCCATCAGCGTTTCCTATTAGATAACTTTGGCAGCTCCCTATTTAACACATTGTCTATTTTGATTCTCATTCATAGGTTCAATGACTTAGGTGTTGTGTTCAAGGGTGTAGATACCATTAGGCATCTAAAGTGGAGTATAGCGACCCTGAGCATTACCGTATTAACCTTCCTTTAGGGATCGAGTTCATACTCTGTCCTCTCTCTTTTTCATTTCCAATAGGCCTTTAAAGGCTGTAGCTTCTTTCTGTCGCCTATCTACTGTTAAGCCAAAAGTCATTGATGGCTAAGAAGCTGCAAGCAATTAGCAACAACAAATATTTGGGGCATTAATGGTGTAGCTTGTTCTCACTATCTCCTAGCAAGGTATGTGGGTACAGAACTTCCTCCCACTCCTCTCCCTGCTGCCCTGAATATAGATTTAAGTAAATTCAACAAATTATAGATGCCACAACATGAAAATTAATTTATTTGTTATCTGTACAGTTCAGGTAACAGCTATGGGACATACCTCCCATGATATGGGATGTATATACCTCATATACCTGTAGTAATGCCAGCAAGCCTTTTTCCATTATATTATTTTTAGTCTCTTTATTGTAACAGAGTTGAGCCTTGCATGACCACAGGCCTGCCACACAGGATCATACCTTCTTTCTGTTGCGTAGCCTGAAGAAATAACTAGAAACTACTAGAAATGAAAGTATTAACTAGAAATATGTTACTGAGGCCTAGTAGGCAAGCTAAATATGGATCACTGCAAAAATGCAACACATCACTTATTCCCTGAAATAAGTATAAGCTGAATATTTTGCCAATGTTGTAAAGGTGTTGCTTGCATACTACAAACAGAAGTAAGAGGATTTTTAAAAGATAGCTTATCAAATGACAAATAAAAAAGATAAAATTACTTGCCTTGTTGTTTTAAGTACATAAGTACTTAAAAGTTCTGGCACCTGTGTTCACAGATCAGTCTAGAGTCCTGTTTTGCAATCATAAGGTACGATATGCTGACTAAATATCTTAAATATAGCACATAAAATCCCATTCCGAATCTGAGAAATGCTAACAGTATTCCACTTGTACGTAGATGAAATATGGTTATTCTAACATTCAAATATTTACCCTAAATTCCAACTCTGAATGACTGTACGTGCTAAAATGGCAGAGCCAGATGCTAAACCTGTTGGGGACAGAAATACAGCTGTTTGAAGCTACCTTTCTGTAAAGACTGAAGTAACTTACCTAACTTTTAGCTGATATTTAGCAACTGGTTTAAATATATTATGACACACACTAAAAGCCCACTAATTTTTAATGAATGTCTGTATTAATAGATGCTCTCTATTTATCCCCTGCATTCTTTTTGCAGGTCATATTGACTTTCCTGGGCTCTCTGTAACATTTTCCTGCTGTTCTCCAGAGATTCATTCAATCCAACGACTCTCTTCCACCCATAGTCCTGGGCCCATCAGTTATCCCTGACCCCTTTTCTTGCATTCCAATCAGCAGAGCTGAATCTTTGACAACTGACCAAATATTTTGGGCTGAAATAAATGGGAGAAACCACTTTCAACTTGCACATTACACGCAGAGGACCAGCACACAAATGTTCCCATGGCTTCAGGATGTCATGGCTCCCAGGTGAAAGAATAAAAGATTCCTCAAAGTGCACACTCCTTGGAGTCTCTGAGATTCAATATAAAAACGCAACCAGGCTTTCCCACTTCCACGGTGGCGGAACTGCTCAGCACTGCTTGCAATAAGACCTGTGTTCAAGATATTTAAAGTTATTTAGCTGGCTTAGATGCTTAAGCATTTGGGCTAGGTCTGATTTAGATTTCTCTGAGAAATAGGCATTAGATGTGCCTTTGAGAACCAAAGCTCTGGGAGAAGAAAACTCCCCTGGGACGTGAGCTGCAAATGAAAGTCTACCCTCAAATAGAAAGCAAAGTAGCTATTATTTTGAGCAGAGGACCACTTTCAGCTTAGCTCAGTTGAGAAAATAGGAACCCACCTATGCATAGAAGTACTTCCAAACCCTGGGGACCAGAAACCTCCTGACAATAGTAGTCCAATGGTTAAAGTACATCCTGCCCGACCGAAGACCCAGGTTTGGTAAAGCTGAAGATATTCAAACACGTGTTTGAATCCTGTGGTTTAGTGCATAGAGCATTTATTTAACCTGATAGGAACCTGGGTTTTGGACCTTGCTCTGAATTTTATGAATTTTGCTTTTAACAGTTACAGGGTAAATTAGGTGGAAGAAGGCTTTGAACTGGGAACTGAATCTAAAGATCCTTATTTCTGGTATGGTGGTTTTAACTATTAGACTAAAATGTATCTCATGTGCTTGTTCTTTTTTGCCCTAGGAGTCTGGTACCTGACTGCACGGTGACAGTTTCA